GTCCGAGGAAACTTGTGGAGAACAACATCGCGAAAGATGCCACTCAGCCACCATTGGTCTTGATCTTCAATGTAGCTCCCATCGCATCGTTGATAGACCTCCACCGACAAGGTGTTGTCCTCCCCTCCGAACCGAACAAAGTCCGTTATGTCAAACTCGGATGGGTTTCGGCTTCCTTGGGAGTATCCCACTTTGTGGTGATTTACCCAAACTGTGAAAGCCGAGTCGACACCCTCAAACCGGAGTCGGATCTGGTAATTTCTGTCATCGTTTTTGAGATGGAAGGTGGTAATATATCTCCCCGTCTCGTTGTCATCAAGGGGCACCCGAGGAGGGTCTACAGGAAAGGGGTAGTTGATATTGGTATATTGGGGTCCCTTCCCATGGCCCTGCAGCTGCCACATACCTGGAACTTTAATCGTGGTCCATGATGGGTCCTCCATGAAGATCGTGAAGGCCTTTTCGTGGAAATCGATGGGCCCCTGGAATGGAGATGCAGACAGGTTGAAGAGCCATATCTGGTCCTTGCCGGAAAGTAATTGGGCTGAAGAGCGGGAAACATCGCGAGACAGGGCGCTCTGGGTATCGGGGTAGACATAAAAGTGTGATCTTGGCTGCAGGGTATTGCGATGGATAACTTTTAAGTTGTTCCAGTCTGGAGACTGATCCGGGATTACGGGCTCCATTCCGAAAGACTTTCTGTCCCTCCTTGGACGTCTGTTAGTGGACCGAGCCCGGCTCTGACTCGAAGGGACCAGGTCTCCGGCTATAAAGAAATGAACAAGAAAAACTGAAAAGTCGAAGAATCCAGCAAGCAAACGTTTCAGGGGGTGTATTGCACGCAGATACGATTATGGGGGTGCTGGAGAGATTGGATTAATAATGTTAATAACAAAGTTGGATTGATCAAGCCGCAAGGAATTTTGAATTTAAATCCCAACAAGGTAGGGAAAGGACATTTGACTTCAGAGATGTCACGATGAGAGCTGGCTTGTGACGATCAGCTGCACCTTCCGGATTGCCCCGCATCTGTCAAACGGGACCGGGAGATTTGGTGCCGATCTTATAACCAGGGAAGAGCTTCTGTGCCTCCTTGGCATTAACCGGCTTGTCTAAATATCACAAAAGGCACAGTTAGTTTAACACAAAGTCCCAAAATGGACTGTCATCACCATTGCTTCTATCTCTGACATCAACAATCATCCATCATTGACAATTGACATCGGGAAAATGCACATAAAGATCCGCGAAACTTCCACCGCTTTGCACATGTCATCTGAAAAGAGGAATGATCCGAAGAAAGATACACAAGGGCACCCCAGAAATCCGGAGCGACAAGAACCGAGAACCGACTGTGGTAGCATTTTGACGGGAATTCGGGAGACGAAACGAAAACATTCCAATTCTTCGATCGAGATTGATTCGTGGGATTTGCTTGATCTCCGACTCCATCATCGACCATGGCTCTGGTACCATTTTTGCACCATGCCATCTATCCGTAGCCGCCAAGGGGTCGTATCTCATTGGGTGGACAAGTTTATTATATTAACTGCAGAACCACCCGCTTCTCGAACCGTCATGTTTGGACGCCACAGTCACAACGTGTCCGTCTGTCATCCATCATGAGAGGAACCGCCAGGCTGCTTCTCGCTGCCATTGCTGCCCCCGTTAGGGCTGCATTCTCTTGGGAGAATGTCAACATTGGCGGTGGAGGAGGTTTCGTTCCCGGCTTCGTCTTTCATCCAACCGCCAAAGGTGTCGCCTACGCAAGAACCGATATTGGCGGTCTTTATAGGCTAAACCCCGACGACTCGTGGACAGCCATCACCGACAGCATCAACACTGATGCCAGATGGGGCCACTGGGGTATCGATGCTATGGCTCTCGATCCCCAGGATCCTGATCGTGTATACGCCGCTACGGTATGCACCCCCTTTTGCTCTTCTGGCTACCAAGTCTCTCTCTTCTAACCGGCATTCCTCCCATCAGGGTATGTACACCATCTCTTGGGACCCCAACCCAGGAGCTATCATCAGATCCAATGATAGGGGAAATACATGGGCCGTAACCGACCTCCCCTTCAAGGTTGGTGGTAACATGCCAGGCAGAGGTACTGGCGAGAGACTGGCCGTCGATCCCAAGAACTCCAACATTCTCTACTTTGGTGCTCGAAGCGGCAATGGCCTTTGGAAGAGTACCGATGCCGGTGCTACCTGGGCCAAGGTCACCTCTTTCACCAACGTTGGAACCTACATCCCCGACCCGAGCGATGTTGGTGGCTATAACGGTAAGGACATCTCATCGCAATTGAAAACCAGTTGCTCGTTCTGACATGATTTTAAATCTTTAGGAGACAAGGTCGGCTTGACCTTTGTAACCTTTGACTCGACTTCTGGTCTCACAAATGGCGCTACTTCCCGTATCTTTGTTGGAACCGCCGACAATATCACTGCTTCTGTCTACGTCTCCAATGATGCCGGGAGCACTTGGGCTCCTGTCGCTGGCCAGCCCGAAAAGTACTTCCCCCACAAGTGCAAACTCCAGCCTGACGAGAAGGCTCTCTATTTTACCTACAGCGATGGCGCGGGTCCGTATGACGGAAGCTCCGGAGCTGTCTATCGTTACGATCTGACCACTGGTGCATGGAAAGACATTACCCCTGTCTCTGGAAGCGACCTTCACTTTGGCTTCGGTGGCTTGGGTCTCGATATGCAAAAGCCAGGCACTCTGGTCGTCGCCAGTCTTAACTCCTGGTGGCCCGATGCTCAGATCTTTAGGTCGACCGACTCTGGGACAACCTGGTCACCCCTTTGGGAGTGGACTGGCTATCCTGACCAAAATTGGTACTATGGACTTTATGTAAGTGTCAATTTGCCCTCACTGACGGTTTCTAGCAGCGCTGACTGCTTCAGACCGATAACGCGCCATGGATCAATGCCGGGTTCATTTCTCAGGATACTAAGCGTCTGGGATGGATGATCGAGTCTCTTGAGATCGATCCCCTGGACAGCGGTCACTGGCTTTATGGTACTGGCCTCACCGTTTACGGTGGCCGTGACTTGACAAAGTGGGACACAACTCACAATATTTCCATCCATTCCATGGCTGTTGGCATCGAGGAAATGGCTGTTTTGGGTCTTGCCTCTGCTCCTGGCGGCTCCGAGCTTCTGGCTGCTGTTGGCGATAACAACGGTTTCACATTCAAGAGCTCCAGCGACTTGAAGACCTCTCCTCAGACACCCTGGATGAACCCCTGGTATACCACCTCCACCGACGTCGATTATGCTGGTAACAAGGTCGGCAATGTCGTCCGTGTAGGAAACGAGGCCGGGTCTCCGCAAATCGCGATCTCCATTGACGGGGGTGCCTCCTGGAATGTCCACCCCGGCGCTGGAACTACCGCGCGTAGTGGCTTTGTCGCTTACTCGGCCGATGCCGACACAATTCTCTGGTCTTCAGGTAACGGCGGTGTGCTCCGTTCTCAAGACCAGGGCACGTTCACGGCTGTTGATTCTCTACCAACCGAGGCTGTCATTGCCTCCGATAAGCGGAACAACACCGTCTTTTATGCCGGCTCTGGAAGCGAATTCTACCGTTCCACTGATGCCGGCGCGACCTTTACCGAGGTTTCCTCCGCTCTAGGAAGCGCCGTCACAGCGGTTCGGGATATCGTTGCTCATCCAGTGCTTGCCGGTGAGCTCTTGGTCAGCACCAATGCTGGCCTGTTCCGTAGCACAGACTTTGGTGTCAGTTTTGCACAGATTGGGTCTGGCAAGATCAGCAATACTCATCACGTTGCTTTTGGCAAGGGTGAGGGTTCGACCTGGAACATTTATGCCTTTGGCAGTGGTGCTTCAGGCAACAAGCTCTATGCCTCTGCGGATATTGGGGCAACCTGGGTTGATATCCAAGGCAGCCAAGGTCTAGGTTCCATATCTGCGAACAGAGTCGTTGGAAGCAGCAATGTCGCTGGTCAAGTTTACGTGGGCACAAACGGCAGAGGTGTTCTCTTTGCTAAGGGTGTTGTTGCTGGTGGTGGTACTGCTCCTTCGCCTTCCACTTCGGCGTCGCCATCGAGTACAACAAGCAGGGCTACGACTTTGAGCACCTCGACAATCAAGACCACATCTACTACTGTCGCTACTACCACATCTGTCGTTACCACATCTACGAGCTCCGCAGCTACACCAAGCCCAACTGCACTTGCTCAAAGATGGGGTCAGTGTGGCGGAATTGGATACACGGGGCCAACGCAGTGCGTTGCTCCTTATGTCTGCACTGTCGGTAATCCATGGTACTCTCAGTGCCTCTGAGGGAGTAAACTCCGAGAAAATATATCTAGAAGTTATAATTAGTGAAAGTTTTGTATATATCTAACATAGTTGGTTTTCTTCTTGGCATTACATGCATTGTGACAGGTGCCGTACATATTATATACGAATGCATTTTCCTTTTTTACCTTCTGCTTTTTTCCGTGGTTATTATTATTGAGCTGATATATATATATATATGGGTTTTGTGATAAAGTAACCACCTCCAACAAAACGTTGGCACCGAGAGACTTCAAAAGACTCCGACGGACAGACCTTCTTCGTATGCTCTCTCCTTTACGATTTATCCTCGGAGCAACGCCCCCAACCTCATCTCAGTCGTGATGCCAGAGATATAGACCGGTCTCAAATAGTTTTTATCAATTAACTATTTATTAAAATCTTCCCATCGTCTTTTTTCATCTTTAGCATCCACAACGGCATCATCTTATCAAAAAATACTGTATTTTTCCCATCATCATCATCACCACCCCTTTCCCCTCATCCCATACCATAATACCACCACTTATATCATTCCCACACTTTCTAAAAAATCAAGCACACAAAATAACCACCACAACCACAACCACTCACTCTTCCACCAAGCAGTCCCCAGTATTCAGGACACTAATTTATTTTAAATTCTGCTTTGTTCTTACAAATTCCACCAACTTAATGCTTACAAGTCCAGTCACCTGTAGCGTAGTTGGTCAGCAGTTTGTGTTGCTTTATCTTTCTTCCAGTGTTTGATTTTTCCCAGCGAAATTTGATAAAAGCCGGCGCCAAAGACGTCGGTTCGAATCCGATCGGGGACAAATAATATTATGTATATATATATATATATATATTTATTAAACAGTATACTATCCATTTTCTTAGTAATATCTTTAATATCCTTTAACTATCTTCTCTACTGTACATCCTTCTTCTTCTTCTGGAATCTGGAAAAATCAAAAGCGAAATATTCTCAGACATTTTCATAAGATTTCTGTGTTTTTGATATCTTTCCATTATTAATTTTTTCGTACAAAGAATAGTTTTTCTTTTTTCTACTCATCTTATATATCAGTTTGAAACAGTGTTTGAAACAAAAAGGCAACAAAACTGCCAAAAAAATAAAATAAGAAAAATAAGAAAAATCTCTATTCAATGCTTACTACCAAATGCTGCTGTATAATGCATGCTACCAGGATCAAACCCACAAAATTTCCCTCCCACAAAAGAGATTCCAACCCTTCAAAAAGGTTCGTCATAAAAACTCAATATATACAAAACGAAAGAATACTCCCCGCGGGGAAAAACGCGGCGTCCAGCCGAGATGCCCCTTCCCCACCAAAAAAAGAGAAAGAAAAAGAAAAAGAAGCCGCATCCTGCTCAAAGTCATAACCTCAAGAGTTTCTTTCAATCCCCCCCAATAAAACGAACGTCAAGAAGAAAGAATAAAAAATAATAATAATATATACAACATCATCCCATAGGTTCTTACAATCCACCCAAAGCTACCATCACAAAAAAGTCAGCGACAATCTTTTCCAACCACGAAAAAAGAGAAGAAAAAAAGAAACTTACCAGCACTATAAACCAAATACCAAGTCAAACTAGCCCCTCCATCCAACCACCCCGGATCAAACTCTCCCTCTTCTCCCCCCGAAAAAAACTCAAAAGCCCCCCTCGGATCAATAGTAGCATAATTCCCCATCAAAATCCCCCTCCAACCCCCCGTAACACTCTCAATCTTTCCCCCCGAAAAATAAACTTCCCATTCTTCCCTCACAAACTCCGGTTTCCTTATCAAAGGAGTATGAGGCAACAAAGGCAACATGTGAATCCCCTGAATATACTCGATATTCGATCCAAAATAAGTCGTATGATCGACTTTATTCTCAAACAATATCCCCGCAACTTTATTCCCAATAAAATTCGCCGGTTGAACATCATTGGTGCTCGAATACAAATAATAAGCATTCAACGACCTCGCTTGAACGGCAAGCATCAAACTTCCCCTCGCCGCCAAATCGGCATCACCAACGACATCTCCCCACATCTTGAGAGCATAAGAAGCCATAGTGTCTTCAGAGCTCGACTCTTGGTCTTTGCCGTCAAGAGTGTCAAAAAGCCCATGAGCCCAGCTGTGTCCGTGATACCAATCAAAACACCGCCAAACTGGGAAATACTGGTCCTGAGTTGACGGGTTCGCAATGTCTCGGACCAACATGTTGACCCAAGGCTTGTTCTCAGGGATCCATGATGGGTCTAAATGACCAATAACCGCTGCCGTGTAGATGAAATAACCGTAATGAAAGTGATGGTCGTTGTAATAAGAATTTCCAAAGTCGGCGCCAGAGTTTCCTGTCACATACGTTGCCGAACTGACCACACCGCCCCATCCGCTCTCGTACACCAACGGGAACTGCTGCTGATTCTCTGCAAACCTGGCAAAAGCAAGCTTGAGCTGATTGAGAGCAGTGAAAGCCAAGGCTTCATCGCCAATGATGTCGTGAAGAGCCAAAATGATACCCGCAAACTTTGCCAGAGCCTATCAAACACATATTAGCCTCTCGTCGTATCCCCTCGATTAACGCACAACTTACCTTTCCACTAAAATACATCGAATTCTGATCACTCTGCTGCAGCATATCCTGACTGACTTCCTGAATAGCCACATTCCGTACATACTCCTTCACCTCGGCGCTAATCTCACTCACACTTCCCACACCATCAACCCACGGCAGGAACCCCAAAGCGCTCGGAACATCCTCCTCCAGCATCCTCCACTCATCGGCAACCACCAAGTTCGCCACACCCTTTGTAGTAGTATTCAATCTGGCCCCCTGCACAACCTTGCCTCTCGTGGTATTATCAAAGCTGCTCAAATGATGCGGCAGAGCATACATTGCCACACCCGTCGCATAGGCCATGCCGCTCTTTCCAAACTTCATCTTGTACTCTCCCAACTGCCCGTTAACCTTGCCCTCCAACGTCACTCCCGTGGGATAAACACCACAAGCCTGGTCCAACACCTGTTCAGCTCCATTGCCGGGGTCCTTGGCAATCTGCAGAATACCATAAAACGGACCGGTGCTCATTGCCAACCCGTTATTCACAACCTGCAGGTTCAAACCATCACCCCTCGTGTGATAAGCATACACCAACCACACGTTGCCATCCTCCATGTGAAGCTTATACTTGGTCACTCCACTCTTGACATCCCTCGTCGGCCTCGTCACAGTCTTGAAGTAAATACCCGTCTGAATCAAGGGTTGACCGCCATTGAAGATGGCAGTAATGAACGCAGATCCTTGAACAAGTGGGAACTGAATGACAGCCGGCCCCTGAGCGGCCTGTCTCAGACTGACCTGAACTGACGAATCCGTGTGGTTTTCTGTCGTAAGCACGGTACCTGGGCCGAGCTCGTTCGCAGATATGCAGACTGAGTGAATTCCAACGGGGTTGATAAAGTACGATGCCGCACCAGTGGTGGCGTCCGGCTTGCCGTAAACGCGCTGGAAAGGCTCAACATGCGAGATTGCGAGTCCCCATGTGCCCGACGCTCCCTGACCGCGGGCCCAAGAGATTGAATAAGGATGAAGATAAGCGGGAGAAGTCTGGTTTCCCAGAAAGAAGTTGCCGTAGAATTTGTTGGTGCCAATTGGAGCGCCTGTGGAGGTGATACCAATCCGAGGGGCTGGATGGTCCTTTTTCCGGCTGATTTGGGACGGAGGAGGATCCGTAGAAACGGGGCGACTAAAAACGTTTGGACCAGCCATTGTGTTGGTTGGTTCCGGTGGAGTTGGGCCGTCTGGGGGAGGCGTCTCGGTAGGTTCGATCAAAGAGGTAGGACTAGGGATCGGGCTAGTGATGATAGGTTGCGAGGTGATATAACCGGCTCCTGATGTTGCGCGAAACGGAGGGATAAAGCCGGTGTTGGTCGGCTCTTCGGTTGGTGTGGGAAGAATGATAACGGTCCCCGAGGATGGAATGACAGTGGTGATCAAACTGACCGTCTCGGTGGACTCGATAGGTTCGGTGACTGAAGTGTTTTCTACCTTGAGTTTACCGACTAGAGGCGCATTCCATCCACCAGGTCTCCAGACAAGAGGGGTGGGCTTTGCTCTCTTCGCTGCTGCAGCTCTCACCACTGGAGGAGTCGATTTGGTTGTTGTCGTGGTCTTGCAGACTGTGACCTTGTTGACTTTACGAGCTTCAACCTCTGAAGGGCCGTTCCTAATTCCTGGTGGACGGGCAAGGGAGATTGAAACCTGGAGCAAGGTCAGCAACCACGCAAACAAGAAAAGTCTATTAAAGCTGATCCGCGCCATCTTTGTCGATATCGTCGTATGCTGTCTAGTTCGTTCTCGTAGGGGAATAATTATATTATATATGGGCGAGGCGCATGTCCCGTCGCGATCATAGTAAGAAAAGAAGAAGTAGAAGGGCTGGTGGGCTGAAACAGAAACAATCTCTCTTCGTCACCGGCATGCATTCGCAGTACAACTTTGTGGGCTGGGCGTGAAGAGAAAAAAGAGTAAGACATCTTCCGTACCTTGATATAGATCTACCGGAATGCGCCGTTCGTCTACCGAGAGTCAAAAGAAGGCTGGAGGCAAGCTTCTCGAGTTTCAGAAAGAGGCAATCCAGACAGCTCTAGATCCTGCAACCTGACTCGAAATAGCTTTCTGAGAAAGAGAGATTCTTTTTTCACAGGAATCGAACTGTAGATAGGTGATTCGGGAGGTCCGAGGGTTTGGTTCGGAAATGAGGTGAGGGGGGAATTGGGAACAGGATGAACGACGGCGATTGTTGTGAGACAAAATGATATCTTTTAAAAATACTCGAAACAAAAGTAAAAGAGAGAGAGAGAGAGAAAGAAAAGGTGAAGCTCAAGGTGATAGTTAACGGTGATGATGATGCGAAAAGCTTACCCTGTTCTTGGGAACATGCCAACGGGGTTCTTCCCTTCCTGCGCCTTCAATTGTGGAGACAATGTCGGGCTTTTTATACGTCAGGTACCCAGTAATCCCCAGATCTTCAAGAAGGGACCTCCTTGCCTTGGCAATGATCCGTTGTTGAGATGGAAGCACGGGAAGCTCGAGTGCTCAAGGGTGGCAGCTGCAATCTTGCCACGAGGGGCCAAACAAGATCGAGTTCAGACGATGCAATGAATAATTGACTTTTTTTTCTTCGAAAATTAGACAAAGAATGACCAGAATGTGCACGAATGCCAAGACCAAAAAGAAAAAATCGCCAGAATCGTAAGCTTGAGATTCTCGCATGATCAACAAAAAGGGGGTTATCGATATCATGTTGTTCTAGAAACTCAATTGCTGGGACACATGTCAACAAATATCGGTTGTACAGGTACAACAGCCGCTAGACAAAGGTCCCGGTGACTTGGATTCGGGCCCTTGCATCACGCATAAACAACATCATTGGAAAAAAATATGTTCGGCCCGATGAATAATAAATTATGAAATATGGGTATCAAGTGCTCTGAGCTATTTTGTAAAATGCATGTCGTTGCAATGTGGTGGCCAAGTACGGACTTTGTGAGATCTCACAACCCGTCAATCCACAACGTCGTATTGGTCCGTCACAGGTGTTGCCCTTGTGACAGCCTTTACCTTCCTCTCCAAACCACTCGTTCTAATCCTTCCCCTCACCACAACCTGTTTCCCGGGTTTGCCAATATGCCAGCGATCAACATAATTTTGTCCACGGCTATCCTCATCCTCTACTATAGCGTGTGAATCCGGTTCCTTCTCTCTTCTCCGTTTCTCTAGACCGGTGACGCGATGCCGACCGATTGAAGGGTTCG